GGAGATAACTATTTCTAAAGCCCAAAACTCTAAACCCTAAGCCCTAAACCCTCAACCCTAAACCCTAAACCCTAAACCCTAAACCCTAAACCCTAAACCCTAAACCTTAAACCCTAAACCCTCAACCCTCAACCCGTTGGGTTTGGGGTTCAGGGGGATGACTCGAGATGCAGGCTCTTACAAGTAGGGGCAGCATCCTTCGCCACTCCTCAACCCCTTTCGGTTTAGGGTTTATATGGGTGGTTGTCAAAATTATGGTCCCTTTTTGGGTCCTTGTTATAATACGGCACCTAATATTTAGGGTACCCAAAAAGGGACCCTAATTTTGACAACCACCATTTTAGGGTTTGAGGCTCAGGGTTTAGGGTATCGTCCCTCAAACCAAACCCAAAAATCCTGAATGCCCCAAACCTTTCACCTCAAATCCTAAGCCCTTAGCCCTGAATCTTACACGATAGATGCCTGAAGCTTTCAAAGCCGCTGACCTCTTAAGCGATAGATACTGTGGACTTGGAGGATCAGAGGACTTAGTAAGCCAGGTTATAAGTACCTTAATTGGGGTTATAAGTACCTTATTTGGGGTTATAAGTTAGTAAAAGTATAGTTAACTTATGTATAGCCATAGTTACTAAGTCCCTGGATCCTCCAAGCAACCCGAAGCCACCTCTTCATAGAACCCTTATAGGACGCTTACCGAAACCCTCTTGGAACCCTTTAAGCGGTATATCCGTCGTAGAATTATCCTGAAACCCTAAGGCCTAATGCCTTAAGCCCAAGGCCCAAAAGCAGATCTTCGCTTGATGGTTTGGGGTTTAGGTGTGGAGGGTTTAGGTTTAGGTTTTAGGGTTTTAGGATTTAGGGCTTCGGGTTTAGAGTTTTAGGATTTAGGGTCTTAGGGTCTTCTGGTCTGAGGGTCTTGGCAAGAGTTTGAGGGTTTGATAGTAGAGAATGTGGGAATGGGTTCTAGGGACTACTATAAGGGACCTTAAAGGGACTGCGATGGGATCCATTCCCCCATTCCCTACTAAGCACCAGACAGTTGTTCTGAGGTCATGTTCTGTGAGCACCAGTGGTCTGGCTACGAGTGCGCACTGGCCCTGGGGAAGCGGACAGACGACTTCGGCTGGGTCTCTTGAAATGCACTAAACCCTAAGCTCTAAACCCTAAGCCCTTTAAAAAAAGAAACCCTAAATCCTAAACCCTAAACCCTTTAAACAAAAAAACCCTAAACCCTAAACCCTGAATCTAATCCCAAACCCTAAAGCTGGAGCTGTACGTCTGAAGCACTGGCGGCCGAAGCGAACATTGGTGCTATGAATATGGTATCGGTGCAACAATGACGGGTATCTAGGCTCTAGTACAAAAACTAAAGATAGCATTAGCCCTAGCAGACTATAGGTAACTGGTTAAACTGTATACTTGTGACAACAGCAGCAACACCACCACGTAATACTAGTTGTAGTTGTGATAATGTATGTCATTTCATCTCGTGCAAGCCAGGACACATTACATAGTAGCAGCTGCAAGGGCAACACGACCGGAAATTGTGACAGTGACCGTAGTAAATAATTAGTACCAGCAGTAGTACTAGCTAAAGTGTCAGAGACACCAATGCAGTAGTAGTAGTAGTAGTAGGAGTAGTAGTAGTAGTAGCAGTAGTAGCAGTAGTAGTAGTAGTAGTAGTAGTAGTATGCATAAGAGTAGTCGTAGTCGTAGTCGTAGTCGAAGTCGTAGGCGTAGGCGTAGTCGTAGTCGTAGTCGTAGTCGTAGTCGTAGTCGTCGTAGTGACGCGTGGCAGTCATAGTAGCAGTCGCGGTACTAACAACAGCAACAGTAGTCATCAGTGAAATAGTGTCTGTCTTAGGTACGGCAGGAGCTGATAGCATTGACAATGTCAGAAACATTGTCGGTATTGTTGCTACCGATACTGAGTTATTACAACCAGCAATCATCATGAGGGGAACACCCCCTTAACCCTAAACCCTTAAACCCTGAACCCTTAAACCCTTAACCCCTAAACCCTAAAACCCTAGACCCTAAAACCCTAAACCCTTAAACCCTTGAACCCTAAACCCTAATCGCCCTAAACGCTGCACGTGAGCTTCGGAATGCGAGGCAGAGGCCGAGCCAACGTTTGAGATCTTGGAGATGATCTTTGTCTCGAGCCTGGGACCATATTTACAGGGTTTAGGGTTTGGAGTTTAGGAGTTTTGAGTCTGAGCCTTGGGCCATAATCATAAAAGGATGTTTTACGGGTTACGATTCAGGGTTTAGGGATTTTATGAGGGTCTTGTAGGAGTGTCAAAAGGTATACGGTAAGGGCTTTTGTAAGGGTTCTATCGGGGTTTTGTAAGGGGTCTGATAGGCGTCTCAACGGGGACAGTTCTCCACAGTGCAGTCTCAGCCGACGAAGGAGGACATACCACCACCTTGCCTCCCTCAAACAGACTGAAGCAGTAAGTAGTGAGCAGTAAGCAATGTACACGTCCTGAGTCGTGGGTAGTGGGTGGCGGTAAGTAGCAAATGGGACCCCACCCCACAGCCCTCAAAGGAACCCTACCCTAAACTCTCAACCCTAAACCCTAAACCCAAAACCCTAAACCCTAAACCCAAAAGGGAGCCCTCAACGAACCCTAGCAACTCGGGCCTGGCATATCAGAATCTGACTAGAGTTTACCCCCC